ATCCTGGGACCCTTCCTGGCCTGTCACCTGATGTCTTTCAGACCCAGATTAATTTTGTCCAGACTCGGGCTCTTCGTTAATTGTCAGGCCCCATTTGAATTATTCATGAGTCCCCACACTGGGGTGGTGCGAGTGCCGTTCTCTGCAGATGTGTTCATCCCTCCACAGCTTCAGGACCTGCTAATGATGAGCCAGCCGTTTGGAGAGGCAAGGCCCTCTGACATCCCTGTTTCTTCACTGCACAGGAAGACAGTCCCTCCCTTATCTTTGACTCTAGAAGACCTTTAGTTGTGTGACTGCAGACACCTCCGACTGAGATTCTACATTGCATGCGGCTCGCAACCGACAGCAAACCACATAAAAAAGTTAAAAAAAAAAATGAAGGCTGTCATGTGATGATTAAGCTCAAAAGGAATTATGCAATTAGCAAAGGACGTTGATCATACAACATGTGAGTCTAATTGCAGTGCAGGCAAATGCTTGCTAAATTAGATAAAGACTGGGTTGCAGTCACTCTGGTGCGCGGATTGAGTTGTAAAGTTAGGGAAAATATAAAAGTTAATTATAAGACAGGAGCGATAAGCACAGGGTACGTACGTGCACTGGGCAGATTAGGACTATTAACCCGAGCAATCATCTCACGCCAAAGGTGGAGAATTATAGAAGTCCCAAGCCCGCAGACTACTGCATAATGAAGATACCACATTTCATGGGATGTGAAAAACAGACTTCATTTTCACACAGCACCTGCCACCCAGGAGCATCAGTACTTGCAAGCTGGCTATATTGGCTCACCAACTTCCACACACAAAAAGAGCACATCTCATGTTGATCAGCACACTTCCTTTCTTCCCTTCTTACCCAAGTTCAATTTTGCAGACATCTGGTGGTCGTTATTCCTGTTCAGTGCTTGTCCTTGATCTTGTCCATTTGTTACAATGTCCCAAGTTGGCAAGTGCATGTTGGTTACCGAGTCTGTGAAGCAGCTGTTTTGAGTGCATGCCTAGTAACCTGCCAGGCCCTTTTATGCAGAGGCAAAGAGCCCCAGGAAAGATGGTGAGATGTTTAATCTTCACAGGCAACATCACTAGGTTTGGAATCACCTAGGAGACACACCTCTGGGTGTTTGGTTTGTGAAGGGAAAACTCACTCTGAATGTGGGCAGCACATTCATGGACTGAGGCCCCATGGGGAAGAAAAGGGAGAAAGCACATACTCATCCTCTCTGCTCCCTCACTATGCACACATGTGACTAGCTGCTCATGTTCCCCTGCCATGCCTGCCTTGGACTGTTACCTCAAACTGTTTCCAAAATAATGCCTTCCTCCCTGGAGTTTTCTCTTGTTAGGTGCTTGGTTGCAGGAATGAGAAAAGCAACAGAGATGGTTACAGTGGGAGCCGGGGCTCTGGAGACTTGAATCCCGAAGCCACCATCAGTTCTTTGACAAGTTTGTTTCCTATTTCTGCCACCAAGACACAGGGCCACCTACCTGTCAAGGCTGCTGCGGAGCTTAGAGGAGTGACGCGTTACTCGGGCTAAGGAAACTGTCAGCCGCATAAACACTCATGGCATTGTGACTGTTCCTCAGGACTGTGTTTCCTCCAGTCATCAGTCCGACCCCTTCAAAGGGGCCCACCATGCGCATTACACCATGCCAGTGATCAAACTGGTACACACATATACTGGGACACACACACACACACACACACACACACACACACACAGAGAGAGAGACAGAGAGAGACTGGAGAATACATATGCACTGGGACACACAGAGAGGACACAACACACACACACACACACAGAGAGAGACAGAGACAGAGACAGAGAGAGAACACATATACACTGGGACACACAGAGAGGACACACCACACACACAAAGAAAGAGAGAGAGAGAGAGAGAGAGAGAGAGAGAGAGAGAGAGAGAGACTGGAGAACACATATACACTGGGACATACAGAGAGGACACACCACACTTCATATTCACTTTGAGATAAACTCTGGCATACAAATAATTACATTGAAGCAGCACGTGAGGTGTACTGCTTAAATGTTACAAAGTGTTGGAGGAAGATCATTCCAGCAAGGCAGCTAGAAGAAGCTTCTCTACAGCAGTGGTTCTCAACCTGCCTAATGCTGCGATCCTTTAATACAGTTCATGTTGTGGTGACCCCCAACTGTAACATTATTTCCACTGCTACTTCATAACTGTAATTTTACTACTGTTATGAATGGCAATGTAAATATCTGATATGCAGGATAGCTGATATGCAACCCCTGTGAAACAGTCCTTCCACCCCAAAGGGGTCGTGACCCAAGTGTTGAGAATCATCGCTCTAAAAACTGGCTGGGAGAGTCTAAGCAGAGAAAGATGTAGAGTAGGGGTGTGCGTAACATTTTAGGAACGGATACTTCATATACAAAGATTACAAAGTTACAACAACAACAACAACAAAATCAAGACAACTTTAATGATCACAGATAGGGATGGGCAAGCCTGGAAAAAGAGCTCAGAGAATATGAGGACTGGGAAGGGAGAGTCCATGTCAAGACTTCCTCCTGTGCAGTGTGTGTGGCCCAGGTACCCAGGGTTACAGTGAGATGGATCTGGCCAGGATGGAGAGGCTGGTGACAAAGGCAGCAGACAGGCTGCTGCACTGGTCCAAAAGTGTGCTACTGAGGGTTAAGAATGAAGACAGGATGCAGGGACACTGAGACAAGCGGATGTGACTCAGTAACCAGATGGCTGTACAGAGCAAGAAAGATAGCCAGCCCCAGCGTGGCCGTGCGTACCTATAATTCCAGTTTTCAGGAATCTGAGGAAGGTTTGCTGTGAGTTTGAGCCCAGTCTGAACCACACAGAAGGAAACCCCGGGGACTGTGAGAAACTCTAGCTACTCCCTGTCGGGGGAGGGGGCTACAGCAAGACCCTGTCTAAAAAAGAGAGAAAAGGGAAAAAAAAAAAAAAGAAATGACTCTGTGGTTTTGAACTTAGCCCTCTTTTCTTCCTAGAGGAGGAGGCTAGCTGCTCCCTCCCCAGGTTCTAACCTCCAGGCACTTCTGTCGCCTCTGTAAAAATGGGGACTGAACCTCCACCTTCTCCAGAACAAATGAGTGACCCAGCCGGCGCTGATGGGAAGTGCCTGTGGCAGGGCCTGACACATGGGAGACAGCTCAGGAAACATCAGAGAACGCCTTAAAAAGCTCCCCTGCTCGTGTCTGTTCATGTGTTGATGACTCAAGTTTTTCCCGGATCCTACCACCCATCGGCACTGTCACCCGCTTAAGACTTACTGAAGCGCTTCCTCCGGTCAGAATGAAATAAGCCAGATCACAGCCTGGACCTGCAGGCAGAGTTGACAGCCACCCCTGTGGAATGAACGAATCTGCGAGTGTGGGTCGGGTCCTCTTCCCCCCTCCCTCTGGCAAAGCTCCCCCCCACATGCCTTCTATAATTTCTTGTAACCGAGTTTGTGGCCACAGTCCCAGGGGCTGCTGACCAGTCATCCGGTGTATGTGAACTTCAAAGGCCTCTTGACACAGCTGCACACTCCTGAGCCTGGGCCCAGAACAGCCTGAAAGGTGGCTGCTGCCACTCCCCGAGAGCCCACCCAAGGGGACCAGTGCTCTACCCCAGCTCTCAAAGCACTATGGTTTAGTCACCAGGAATTCCATACAAGCAACCTACCTCACAGGACACTGGAATTTGGAAATTACAGAGAAAAATCTTGACCAGATCCTCCCCCCCGACCTTTGTCACTGGAGATGTCTGCTCCCAGCGGAGGTCTCATCGCAGGCCATTACCCACTTGAGACAAACAGCTGCTAGTTAAAAAAAAATGTCATGACACCAATGGACATGCCAATCTGCATGGGGAAAAGCCCAGGAGGCCTCAACCCTACACAAAGAAGTACAGGCAACTGAGTAAAGTGAGGAGAGAGAGAGAGAGAGAGAGAGAGAGAGAGAGAGAGAGAGAGAGAGAGAGATGGCCCTCCTTAGGGAAGAGCACACCAATTGGTTGTCCGCCAAATGGTCAGCCCTGAAACATGCATACAAGTCACATTAGGTGGACTCAACAGGTTATTTGGGGAATGTATATGTATTAACAAATACAAATATACATGTAATAACAGTTGATGGAAAAAGAGAACATGAATTTGAAGGAGAGCAGGGAGTAGTTATATGGGAAGGCTTAGAGGGAAGAAATCAAATCATAATCTCAAAAATAAACAAAAAAGAAATGTCATGAATGCTCTGAGGCATTTCTCTAAGAGCCAGAAAGCTGTCCACCTACAAAGCAGGGATAGGCCCCGGTCGCTAGGCTTCAAAGCCCAGTGGGTTCCGGTTTCCAAGGGAGCCTGACACCAGCACAGAACTGAACAGGGTCCAGGGATTCAAGTCATCAGGAGGCCTCCTCATGTCACAAGGAGACAGGCGCAGCTCAGAGGAATCTAAGACCACATGAATGCCAGCTTCTTCTGTGGAGCTAATGAGCTAGGAAGGAACTTGACCAGAGTGCTGAGGTTATTTCCTTATCATCAAACAGCAACTAAGTCTTCCAAACAGTGATTTTCCCCAGGTGTCAGCCTGGCTCCCACACTGCCAATGAAGCCCCTTTCACAGAGGAGGATGCTGGGGTGCAGAGTGATGAGCTTTCCTGAGGTCCTAGGCCTGGTAGGGACTGAAGTAAGGGGGAGAACAGGAGATCTCTGGATCCTAAGCCATCACCGACTCCAACTCAACGGCCAGACTTCAACTTGAAGCATGGAAGTGTCTGTGTTCTGGGAGCAAGGGCAGACAGAAGAAAACCCCGGAGAGGAGGACACTGACCAACACACAAATGAGACAGGCCAGTCACAACCCACTCACTGACTCCAGTCAGAACACATTATCTCCAAGTGCTCTTCAGGGTGCCTTGCTCAGGCGTGTCTTAAGTCTTTAAGACCCACAGTGTCCTAAAGCCTCCGGTTGTAAGGCTTTGAGACACTGGACGTCCCTCCTACAATGAGCACTGAGCTCAGGGCACCTGCAGCAGACAAAACAGAGAGGTGGGGAAGGGACAGAGGATGCAGAGACAGTCGATCAGAAGAAGCCAATTCCTGGCCAAAGCTCCATGGACATGATCTATCTAGCTACCAAGAATCTCACTGTGGTGATTAGAACACACAGAAACAAAAACAAGCCCAGATATGCATGTGTATGGATTGGTTTGTTAGGTAATCATATGTCGATACATAATAACTTTCGATATCATATGTTGATATCATATATCGATACATAATAACTTTCTTTAAGTACTTTGTATGTGTTAAACACCACTGTTTTTCAGGGATTAACTCATCTATTCCTCACGAGGCCCCGCCAGGGGTATATTTTAATTCCCCTTTTAGTGTATGTGTGTGTGTACGTGTGGGGGGAGTATGCCCATGCTAGTGCAAGTGCCCTCGGAAGCAGAAGCATTTGATCCCCTGGAGCTGGAGTTGTTGGGAATTGAACTCAGATCCTCAAGAGCAGTATGTGCTCTTAACTGTGGAGTCATCACTCCAGACCCACATCCTAACTTTCAACTCTCAAAGAGAGATGACTGACTAGAAGATGCTTGGTTTCCAAATGTGAGTCCCTCCTAAAGCAGCCACCCACAGTCTGGCTGGCACAGGTGGACCACAGCTAGCACAGTGACAGGAAGCCAGCCCAGCAAACATCTTTCTCTATCAATAAAATTATGATTATTTTGGTGCTGGTGACTGAACCCACAGACAGCCTCATGTATGCCAGGCAAACACTCCGCCTCTGAGCTCTATCCTAGCCCAGTGTGTTGCTGTATATACTTCAACTAACACTAAAATGGTGACAGTTTATTCCAAAGATTGAATGTGTGATGAAGTGCAGCCTATTCCAAAAGCACATGGGCAAACCCAGATGCTGTTTGTTCATCCCTGACTGTGGCCATGAGACCATCAATGTACTCCAACCAGTTTCCACATTGACAAACACTGTGAGCTTTCTCTGAACCTTTTCAGCTAGAAAGACCTTGAGTGTTCTGTCTCCAGAGGTAAGGTAGATCCTGTTCTGCTTACCATATGACAAAGGGATATGATGAAGACTAAAACCCCACAACAGACCTGAGCATTTTGGGGCTGATAGTCAAATCAGATCTTCAAATTCACACCTAAAGGGGTATTCAGAAGAGCTTGGGAGTGAGCAGAGACCCGCCCAGGGCTCAGGAGTGAGTTGTTGAAGCTTTTGGGGACTGCCCATAATCTCATTTGGGAAGGGCCAAGATCATCCGAGCCTGCTCTCCCTCTGCAGGACCCAGCTCCAAGGCCAGAGAGAACACGCCCAATCTCGACAGTTCCATTTATACCAATGTCAGCAACCACTTCAGGAGGGGTAGGGGCAGAGCCACCTTCAATGACTCAGAAGCCTCGATTTTGAAGAACTCAAACAATCAGTCGGTTTGTACAAAACAGATTCATAACCCTCGTAAGGAAAAGAGAAAGAGAGGGCGATGAGTAAGTGGAGCTGGCTTTAGTGCTGGGATCCCAGGAAAGCCAGTTCATCCGGAAGCTGGTACTGAACACAGGCCCCCAGCTCCAGAGCAAGGGGCACACATTCAGATACATTTTAGGGACCGAGTAAGAAGCACCTAGCTAAGGTGCGTGCGAGCGCATGTGCCTTCTGTTATTTTTAATTAGGGGGTCACTACAAGAGTCACATTTCTCACGTTATAGAGCGCTCAGTGTGTGTTCACAATTGGACTTGACACAGCAGGTTATGAGATGGAAAAGAAAGCTCCCGCCCTACTTGGTGGGATAACATTCTAAGGTAGAACCTTAACCAACCAACATTCACCAAGCCCCTCCCTTGGGTCTGGCTCCTGGCTAGATGCTGGGGAGACCAAGCGAGGACAGAGTCCTCTTCCTTGCTCCCTGGGAGGACAGTGGGGTCAGAGAGAGGAGTCCATAGCAGAAAGGCAAGCACAGGGTTAGGGATTCTCACTCGACAGGATGTGAGGCATCTGCCCAGAAGCGATCCACACAGATGTTCCTTCCCACCAGGCTTTGAGGAAAAGCAGCCACGGTTCATCCGGGAGGCTACAGGGTTCAGCTTTGACTGGGACGTTTTGTGTGTGGCCAGTAGTGACCTCTACTCCCTACAACCTGTACACATACTTCTGCAGTGTCCTGGAACTGGGAGAACTCTGTCCTTCCAACCTCCCGATGAGCACAAGAGGACGTGACCTCAGTTCTGTAAGAGTTTCAGATTCTATGCACACTCTCACACAGTGACAGAATACAGACTCCAGTTCTGTAAAGGGGGCCTTGGTATTTTATCTTGTTCCCTGGAGGTATTTTAAAAATGTAGGGGGCAGTAATTACTCAATGAACAGCAGCCATGGCAGCTGCTGCAACTGAGTCTCTAACTGCAGAATTGTGCCCAGGTAGCAAGTATAACAGGCAGGATTTCAGCCCTAGCTAGGTCAAGCTCTGGCCAAGCCAGCCAGCAAGGCCAGACCAGTGCCAGCTCTCCCACCTCCTGGGTCCCTTGCTCCCGTTGATTCTCTGAAACACTTTCTGTTTGGGTCCTGACACCATTTACTCACAGAATAACCACCTTGCTCAAGGGACAGGGGAGGGCTGAGAGCTGGTTGTGAACAGCTGTGGTGATTTGTTCCCAACAGCTGGTTTGGGGTGGATATGCCAATGCATATGACAAAGTCTAAATCCCAATCTCCACACTGAGCCAGCTAGTCACAAAAGCAAACGGGGAGGTGGGGGGGCTGTGAGAGACGGAAAAGTCTCAGAACCCACCAATAGAAAAAAACATTTCCTTGCCCCCACCCCCCCCACTCCCGGCCAGGGGGAGAGGGCTGGCCTGCTCCTTTCACACCCATCGATGATCAGAAAGGGACATCATTCAGAAACCCCAAAGGTTACCTTTGAATCTAGGGACCTCAGATGACATCCATCATCCCCCCACCTTTGATATCTTTTTTCATAATACCTGATTTATTGTTGAATATGTTACCCAACTCTCTCAGTTGTGCAATCCAGAAGGATGACAGCAAAGCGGAAAAACTGGCCTAACTCAGTGAGGTATGGTCTGTTATGTAACCCAATGACCAGACACAAAAGCACGGAAATCTTGCATTATATAATAACTGGAAAACATATTTGAAGGGAAAGTAGGAAGGATGACTTCAAGTTTGTCCTCCGACCCTTCATGTTGGAGCAGTAAGCATGAAGGTTTTCTGCAGTCATCTCTCCTTTATAATCCATGCCTTACTTCAAATTGACACGCTAGATTTGTGTGCATGATGCTGGAGGTGGACCCTAGGGCCTTGGGCGTGTTAACTAATCACTCTGCCGTGAGCTACAGCCTCAGATTCTTGCTTCCTTTTCAAAGTCTCATGACAGACAGGGTCATCAAGACTTCAAACCTCTCTTCATCCTGCTTCATGAGCTTGATTATAACTGACGTGGCAGCCACCATTAAACAAAAATTACATTATCTTGCCTTTCCTCCTGTGTTGAGGGAGGACTTAAAATGGCTGTGGCCTGGCCTACACGTCACTGACTTCTCTGTCCTGAGAATTTTCTGAGGTAGTGCACTGGGATATATGAAGTGACACAGGGGACCTGAGTTTTAATTCTGGCTCTCGATATAAATTGGACATCACTTAATCCTTTGGGGCTCTAAGCACTGACGGGTGAGAGGTTTGAGAGGTTTGAGAGGTAACCTGGCAGACAGTGGCTCGGGCAGAAAGTGATATGTTTAAACTTCGACTCTGCTCTAAAAAAGTGTACCTGGGCTTAGAAAGATGTATTTGCTCTGAGTATCCTGCACTGCCCCACAACGGGGCTTTACTTGACATCCACATCTGAGGCTACAGGCATTCTGCCCCTTCTGCACAGCATCGGAGCATTTGGGGGCAATCCTGATCTTGGGGTTACTTGGGTGACCCCTGGCGCCTGCACTTCTGACAGCTACTAGAATTGAACAGAGACACAAAGATGTAACCGTGTCTTGGAGGCCACCCTGTGTTTACCTTCCTCAGGAACCCTGGCCCGGTGTGCATTTCCTACGCACCGGGATCCCAAATCGGGATGCCGCCCTACCCACCAGGAGGAAAACACAGCATTTCGCTTGGAGTCAGCAATGGTTTTCGCTGATAGCCAAGCTCAGTGATGGAACTTAGACAGAATGGTCCTGAAGACACAAAGTGAAAAGTGTGAAGAGCCCAAACCAGTCTTAGATGGAAGCGGGTTAGGCGGCATGCGGCCCAGGCGATCCCAGGAGTGATCAGACAAGGGGAAATGTTGTGAGGCAAAGGCGGGTGCAAAAAAAAAAAAAAAAAAAAAAAAAAACTCGGGCACGGACAGCGCTGGGGCACAGGGCTTCGGTTTCCACTTTTGCAAAATGAGGATTTTGGGCAAGAGGGTCTCCTTTGAAGTTCCCTAGACTTGTACGGCACACCAGGCTCGACACATCTGGCTCGTAATGGGAAAGGGGGAAAAGCGGGAAAAGCTAGGGAAGAGCAAAGAGAAGGGAAAGGAGGACGCGGGACGCTGGGGACAGGCTTAACGGGTTTTCCGCGTCACTCCGCCTTCTTCCACACCTGCGTGTTCAGAGATCTGCCAGCGCCCTGCGCCCGTCAGCTTCGGACATCGAAGCGCCTTCCTCCTCACACGTTCTGGAAGCCATGGGGCAGAAGTGGAGCACAGTCACGCACAGGGTGGCAGTGGGAAGGGTTCCGCTGGGGATTAGAGGGCAGGTGAGCAGACCCCAGGCTGCGCACCGGTTGACATGGCCCTAAGCTGAGGATGGCAGGGAGCCCGCGTGCCCTTGCCAGGCAACCCTGGACAAGCCAAATTTCATCCACCAACTTCGATCTCGGATAAAGGGTGTTTGCAAAAAGACAAAAAAAAAAAAAGGAAAAGTTTTTGAGGACTTTTTCCCCAAGTCTGGCTGGAGGCGGGGTCGTAGGGCGGTAACTACAGTCTGATTCGCCACGGCGGCGGTGCAGAGGCGCCGATTGGCGCGCGGGGCCCCGGGCCGGGAGAGCGGGCGTGGGGGGAGGGGAGGCTCCGCGCCCGCGGGAGCGGCTCGCGCCGGGAGCGGGTTAATTTCAAATCGGGGGCTGGACTGCTCCGGGACGGCCACGCTCCCACGGCCCGCCCGCCGCCCCCCCCAGCCCCGGTCCCGGTGCCACCCCCGGGCACCCACCTCTGAGCGGTGGGGCTGAGCGAGTCACCCTGAGACGCGCGGGCTCCCGGAACCGGCGGGGACGCGTAGCCAGGAGCCCGGGCCGCCCCGAGCCGCCAGCCCCGGAGGAGGATTGACAGGTGAGCGGGGAGCTGACTGGCGCGGCGGGATTGCGGGATCCCGGGCGGGGTAGGGTGAAGGCGGCCGTTTCCCGCCTCCCGCCCAGCCGGGGCTCGTGGGGAGGAGCCGAGCTCCCGCGCAGAGGGCGGGGGAGGGGCTCGTCCGCGCTCCAGCCCCGCGCACTCGGGGGCGGCGCCAGCCACGGTTCTGCTTTCCGCGCCAAATTTTTAAATCGAAGGCGGAAGGTCCGGCCCCGCCCTGGGGGCCTCTAGCCAATCGCAGGCCTGTAGTGGGCTTTCTGATTGGCTGGGAGCCGTCGTCCTGGAAACCGTAAGATGCTGTCTGGCAGCTCCCGGGGGCGGTGTAGTTTCGGGGAGGAGGAGCTAGTGTGTGCGCCCGGCGGGAAGCGGAGGACTGCAGGGGACTGTACCTGGCTGGGAGCGCAACCTACTGTGCGCCTGTGCATCGCGGTGATCTAGGCATCTAGGGAGACCACCTCCGCCAACTCCCGCGTATTGAAAGAAGTTTGAAAAAGGGGATCCAAATCCCAAAGCTCTCTGTACATGCCCCATCGTGCGAATAGAGCGCAAAGGCTGAATTGGAGGATTGCTCTCAGTCCATTCACGAAGTCCTCCTCTCTGAGCCTGTGCACGTGTGTGTCAGACGAAAAACTTCAGCATCTCCCCCGATGCAGGCTCGGTGTGTGCTCAGTCGGTACCCGGGCTCGCACGCTCCGTCTGCAGCCCGGATCAGTGCACAGGTGGGTGCTTGCTACAGCTATTTTTGAGCGTGAGAGAGGACTGTCACTGCAGATTCTGTGTTTGCTTGAAGTCTCGTGACAGGAGATGGGTTTGATGGAGGAATTTACTGCTGTCTGTTGGCGCGGTCTGCCTAGAGGTGCGGTCTTTGCTCGAGGGGGCACATATAAACCTGGTTTGTCATTTTTCGTTTCTTTGTTTCCGGGGCCTCTTGTGTGCGTGAATGCATTTTCAGCAGATCTTATTTCTTTCTTTCCTTTTTTCCTTTAAGGATATTAAAAAACTTTAACAGGATCGATTGGACTACTTGAAACATTCGAATTTGGGGAGGAACTTCAGATTTTTCGTTTCTAAAGACACACTAAATGTATGAGAAATTGACAAAATGGAGAACCAAAAGGTATTTTCAAAGTTCAGTCCACACTGTTGCGGTGTCACCCTTTAGTTTTTCCTTTAATAGTGCCCTGAATGTTGTCCCTTTTTGGTTGACTGTTACAGAAATCCAGGAGGAAATTTTACTTTTTGAAGAGGAGTAGGGTTAAATTAATCTTTCTGTTTCGATAGTTTAGTGGAAGTTTCACATACACAGGGGGAGGCATTTTTTAATACTTTAAGAAAATAGCATGTATATGTTGTATTACAGCCTTTGCGTGAACCATTGGAACTTGGAAAGGACATAATTTGATACTGACTTTCTTTGTAAGATAACATTCTAAATTGTCAGTCTTTTAAATTGCTGGGCCTGAAAATGCTGCTTACAACAAATGTTCTGTAAAATTACAGAAGACTTTGACAGTAGGGTCGTGTGGATTGGTGGTCCTTTTTTTTTTTTTTTTTAAGTGAACTTACATAAATTTCCCCGAAGATTTTAAGATGTTAGTTAAACCCTGTTCCTGGCAGTGTTCACTGAAACTCCCACCCTTGGGTCAGCCTCTCCTGATGGCACCATGCTGAACTGAGAAAATTCAGGTACTAGCCCCGTGTGACCTCTGACCCCTGGTGTCCTCCTCTGCTAAGGAGCAATGCCAGATTCAGCAGAAATACACACTGGAAAGCGTTTGATAGTCTCAGTCATGTAATGCAGGGTTGTTAACCCATGTTCCTAACGTTCCAGAGGGAACAGTGGGTGTTTCTGTTCTCTGAGTCATTGCCTTCCAAGTATTTTCTTTTTTAAAAATGGTGCAGTCCCCACAGTGAAAAAAAAAAAAAAACAAAACTCAGTCTCCACTAGCCTTATGAACTGCTAGTAACTTACCCCTGTGTCTCCCAAGCAGGAACTAACTCTGAGGCCTTTATGGCTAATTTTCCTTACCTTGGCCCCATTTTCTGTATCTGTGCCTCAAGAGTTGATGTTGAAAGCAGATTTTTTTTTTCCTGGTCAAAAGTCTTGCTGGTAGGCATGAGGCCCTTCCTGATAAGTACAGCCATAAGGGCACCCTCACCTTCACTGCTTGGTTCTGTTCCTGGTCAGTGACGTGTTAGTGAGCACTCACTGTGTATAGCCACTCCACTGGGTGGAGAATGGTTTTGGTCCTGAAGGCCTTTACTTGACATGAGTAGAGGCTGCTTCTAGGAATTTAGGTCACTTAGAGGGATCACAGTTCTATTAAGGAAAGGGTGTGAGTGCTAAGCTATCTTTACAATTCTCCTGTTTCAAAATAAAATTTAAAAGCAAAGCCTGTAGTTAAAGTTATTTATTTAATTCTTGGATCACAGGGATACGTGGCTTCTGCCAAATTAAAAGTGGGAAGTTTAATTATTAAAATGGACAGTAGCAATGAGGTATAGTGGTACTGCTTTAGTCACAACACACTAGAGGCTGAGGCAGGAGGATTATAAATTCAAGGTCAGCTTATTGCTGTATAGTAAGTTCCGGACTGGTTGGGCATGAGCCTTTGTCTCAAACGAAAAAGGAAATTGCTGTCAAGTGATGATTGGAATATACTTAGTTTAACCTACTTGAGTCAATTTCAAAGTCAGGAGGCTCTCTGGTAGGTTCTATTTTACAATGAATTCAGCTCTTCCTTCCTTCCAAACCAGGAAAACCTCTTTTCTGAGCCACATAAAAGGGGACTGATGAAAAGCCCCTTGCAGGAGTCCTCGAAGGCCAACATAGTATTGGCTGAGATCCAACCTGATGTGGGCCCTTTAACCACGCCAACCAAGCCCAAGGAAGTTTGCCAAGGAGAGCCATGGACACCCACAGCCAACCTGAAAATGCTTATCAGTGCCGTGAGCCCAGAGATCAGAAGCCGAGATCAGAAAAGGGGGCTGTCTGACAACTGTGGATTACCTGAAGCTAGAGACTGTTTGCATGTAGGTTTGCAAGGGATTGAATGTCAGCTGGGGGCTTGTTGGGAGAGGGGAGGTGAATATGGAGGGTCAAGCAGTCAAGAGCCACTGGAAGGCTGCTGTTGACCTGCTGAGCACAGAAAGAGTTTGTGCCAGCATTGGGAATTTTGGACCTTATGAGTGAACTTCATTCCAGGCTTCTCTTTAAGACCATCCTTATTCCATCCCTGACCTTGCAGTGGTCCAAGCTGTGTGTGTGTGGGTAAGAGGTGTTAGTTAGTCACCTAGCCCAGATGTCCCTGATAACTCTGTCAAACTTTATTTCGGGATGAGACATTCTTTACCTTTTCCTCTGTAGGAACACTTATCTGGAGACGAATTTGAGAAATCCCAGCCGAGTCGAAAAGAGAAAAGCTTGGGTTTGCTGTGCCACAAATTCCTAGCGCGGTACCCCAAGTACCCCAACCCTGCTGTGAATAACGACATCTGCCTGGATGAGGTGGCCGAAGAGCTCAGTAAGTATGCTGGTTGCCAGAATGGCTAATAATTAGAGCAGCCCTGTGGACTTATCTCTTTTGGATCTGAGCTCACGTAGTCACATTATCACAGATTCAGGCCATGTGGAAGTTAGAAGTCTCACAAACGGCGATGGACACTGTTTCTGGGTTCAGGTGGTCTCTGAAGCTGTACAGGAAGGAAGTAGTGTTTTATGATTTGTTTCACAAATAGCTGTGACTGACCTTCACCTTGGCCCTGTCCTTGAGGACCCAGTGTATCCATAACCACACAGAGAGATGGCTTCTGTGACTCTGACTCTCAGCCATTTGAGACTGGGGATGGAGTGGTTTGGGGTTATTTTGTTTTTCTTTGGCAAAAGCTATGGGTGTTCTTCCCTCTTTACTGCAGTGTGTAGACCTGGTTCTAGAGCTAAAAAGGAGTCTGACAGATATAGGGTATCCTTGATGTCATTAAAATCTTTCTGTGTGTGTGCGGGCATGAGTGAATATGGGTGTGCATGTGTGTCCCTGTGTGCACAGGGCCAGAGGTCAGCATTGGGTGTCTCAGGAGCCATCCACCTTGGTTTCTGAGAATGGGTCTCACTGGGAGCTGGGACTCACCAATTAAAGGAGGTTGGCTTTTCTGTTGGGTGCTGGGGGGGGTCAAACTCAGGCTAGCACTTTCCCAGTGGAGCCATCTCCCCAGCCTGAAAGTATCTTAATAAGGACAGTGTTTTAATGTGTAGCTAGCTATCACCCCGTGATGAAAAGATTACCTTTCTAAGCAGGAACATTAATTCATGATTTAAGACTGTGCTGTTTGGATCCATCTGCTCTTCACTACACTCCATCTGGCATGCATGTGTGGTGTGTGTGTGTGTGTGTGTGTGTGTGTGTGTGTGTGTGTGTGTGTCTGTGTGTGTGTACTCTTTTGACCTAGCAATAGGAGCTGGTACAGATCCATGAACAAAAAGGGCAAAATTCCCTTTTCAGTGAAACAGTGGTTACAGAGCAACTGGTAGAAACTGACGGTGTGTGTCAGGCAATGCATGTTACGGAAAAGGAGGGGATATCCAGAACATCATGAAAGGACCAGGTGTGTGGGAGCGGTGCTTCCTGACAATAAACCAAGGGCTCAGATCAAGCCTTGCTGGGGAGCTGATGTCCGGGGCTTGAAAGAAGAGAGGCCTGTGAGGACATCAGGGAGAATGGTTCCTGGGGAAGGAACAGCCCAGGACCCTTTATGCTCACTCTCACCTGGCAGTCACCAGGAACAGCAAGGGGCCACTAGGGGGTGCTCTATCCAGCAAGGATAGATTCTGTCCAGTATTGAAGTTGAAACCAACAGTGAAGGTCAATTTCTGAAATAAGGAGAATCCCACCATGCAGAACACTGCAACCCCCTGTGGATTTATAAAAGGCACAGAATTGCTAGTCTTACCATCACTGGTGGTAGGCAGAACACT